CGGGGCCCCCGCCTGTGAGGCTTCTCCAGCTGCCTCAGACTTTCCTCACACCACACACTACGGTTCCTATTTGTAGTCTTGGTGCCCGTTAGTTTCCCAAATTCTAACTTTTTTTTTCCTTTTTTTGGTCTTTTTGACACAGGGTCTCCCTTGTAGCCCCAAATGTCCTGGAACTTACTATGTAGACCAGGCTGGCCTTGAACTCACAGAGATCTGCCTGCCTCAGCCTCCCGAGTGCTGGGATTAAAGGTGTGCGCCACCATGCCTGGCTGCTAAGTATTTTCTATCTTATAAATCTCACCTCCTTCACTAAATACATAGAATACATATATATGCACATTACATATGCTGGGGAAACTGACAGATACCACTAACCCAGTAACCAATGTTCAATGCTCTGGTTTTGTTCACTGATACATTCTATTTCTCTGAATGGAGTGCAGAAATGTAGGGTCTTTCCAAAACCATCTACTAGGGTCAGGAGTGGTAGTGCACCTCCCTGATCCCAGCACTTAGCAGGCAGATCTTTGTGAGATCAAGGCCAGCCTGGTCTATATAGCAAGTTCTAGGGCAGCTGGGTCTACAGGGAGACCTTGTCTCCAAAACAAAACAAAACAAAACAAAAAAACATCTACTGAATAAATGAAGAAAAGCTAGATGAAAGCACTTCTGAACACTCTTAAACTTCTTGTTAACGGAAATCCATCTGCAAAACTGAGGAAGAATGTATGAGTTTAAACACATGCACTCACCCAGAGAAGCACAGTTACCCTCTGCTGACTCAAAGCTGCAGGCATACGTGTGCACAGGAATGTATGCGGCAGACGTATTGAGGGCCGGGTCCCAAACAATGACGTTATAAATGACTCCTTGTCCGGGGAGGGAAGAGAAGGAGACAGTTGTCTTCTCATTACCTGTTAGGGTAATCACCTAAAACCAAAAGTAACAGGTAGGGTTTAGATTTCTAAAAATATTTTATTATTTTTATTTCATGTGTATGCGTGTAGTGCCTGCATGTAGCTAAGTGCACCCGTGTCTTGCAGTGCCCGCGGAGGACAGAAGAGTTTGTTGGATCTCCTGGAACTGGAGTTCTGGACAATTGTTAACTGCCATGTGGGTGCTGGGATTCAAACCCGGGTCTTCTGCAAGAACAACCAGTACCACTGAGCCATCTCTCCAACCCCTAGATGATTTTTTTTCAAAGCTGTTCTGTCAACCCCCTGCAAATAATATTAAATTATAATTCCTGCTTAAAACACACACTAACCAGGAGCTAGGAGTGGAGCTCAGGGGTAGAGTATGTGCCTAGCATTGTAAGACTCTGGGTTCAATCCACACAAACAAAAGGTACACAACCCATGGACTGGGCATGGTGGCACATATCTAAAATCCTAGCACTTGGGAGGCAGAGGCAAGAGAATCACCTCAAGATTGAGGCCAGCCTGGGCTACTTAGTAAAACCCTGCCTCAAAAAAAAATGTAAGAGAGGCTGGAGAGATGGCGCAACGGTTAAGAACACTGGCTATTCATGGGTCTGGAGAGACGGCTCAGTGGTTAAGAACACTAGTTGTTCTTGCAGAAGACCTGAGTTCGAATCCCAGCACCCACATGACAGCTAACTACTGTCCGTAACTCCAGTTCCAGGGGCTCCAACAGCCTCTTCTGTCCTCCACAAGCATTGCACAACACAGGTGCACTTACCTAAATGCAGGCAATGGCAATACATGCATACACATAAAATAATAAATAAAATATTTTTCAAAAATGGAAGAATATTGGACATGATGGTGCACGCCCGTAGTCCCAGCATTGGGGATGCAGAGGCAGGCGGATCTCTGCGTTCAAGGCCAGTCTGGTCTACATGAGTTCCAGGCCAGCTGGGGTTATAATAAATAATAAATAAATAAATAAATTTTTTCGTTTGCAAAGGCAGGAACCACTTTACGTTGCTCAGTACTTTTTCTTTGAGCATCGTATCTGGCACAGAGTAGCGCTCAGCACACAGTAACCATTATTACCAGTATGCTTAGTACTCTCTTTAGTACTAAGCACCACATCCAGGACAGAGTGCAGACACACAGTGGCTGTTACCACAGAGACACTGCGGACCAGGCCAGACTGTGCTAGTCCCAACAGCACCCACTGTTTTCTCAAATAAGAAAACTGCATGGTTTTGTCACTTAGTCATCGTTAATTCCCAAAATTCCCTCTTAAAGTTTGCTCTGTAGATAGGGAATGCCTTTTGATGGAGGAACCACATCTCCCCTACACAACCATGACAGAGGTAAACGTTCCTACTAACGTTTAAGAATTTCAAGAGAGGGCCGGATCCCACCTCCATCGGTACAGCAGCTTTGATCTCAGCAGACTGTCAGAGAGTGCCTGCTCTGCCCTCCCTCTGGTATAGGGGCCGAGAACTCAGGGGGCCACCTGAGAGCACCTGGACCCTGCTTCCACGTGGTGAAACCTTTGAGAGGGAACTGACACTGATTCTAGCCACTCCAACAGCTATCAAAACACCTGAATGCAAATCCTAAATCCATCACTCTAGAGTCCAGCCTTGGAAGACAAAAAAAACAAGGAGGAACCCAATAGAGGGATGCTTTTGGAAGCCCCTGTCAAGAAATTCCAATGGACTTTCATATAAACATTTGAAAATTGCCCTGTTCTGACTTCTTCTAGTTCCCTGTCTAGAACTTGTAATGCTAATTACTCTTGCCTTTACTTCTCCTTCACATCTCCTATTCATGATTCAAGGACTTTCTTTTCCCCTTGGAGATGCAAGTTATGCAATGTGGGAGTCTTTTAGATAGACCCACTGAAGGGGTACCCCAATTGCCTCACCCTGCGTCCCTGTTCAGCATGGAAGAAGCCAGAGCCGTCTGCGACTGGATTCCCTATCTGAAAGTTGGGTAACCCCTTCAGAGGATGGTGTGTTAAGACTAGGAGGTAGGGCTGGGTATGGCGATGCACACCTTTAATCCCAACACTCGGGACACGGATCTCTGTGAGTTCAAGACCAGCCTGATCTACATAGTGAGTTCCAGGACAGCTCTTAGCTAAAAGTCAAAATGTCCTTGGGCCTTTTAGCAACATACTCTGTTCCAAAGGCCAAAATGTTCAAAGTATTTGGGAGCTTTTATCTAATCCTTAAAATATTTTAGGGTTACCTCTTCAGAGGGGGGAATGTTAGAGTAGCCAAAATCCCCATAAAAAAACAAATAAATCAAAAGAAGAAGAAAGAGTACATGAAGTAATCAGAAAAAAGTGATGGGGAGATATGGGATGAGTTAGTAACAATGTCCTTGGGCCTCGTAGCAACATATTCTGTTCCAAAGGCCAAAAATGTTGAAAATATTTGGGAGCTCTTATCTAATACTTAAAAGATTTTAGAGTTAGTTCTTCAGAGGGGGGAAATGTTAGAGTAGCCAAAAGCCCCATAAAAATAAATAAATAAATAAATAAATAAATAAATAAATAAAAGAAGAAGGGGAGATATGGGAGGAGTTGGAGGGGAGGGAGTGGATATGGAATTGATCAAAACACCTTATATTCATGTATGAAATTCTCAATAAATTTTCTTTTTTAAATATTTTATTTATTTTTTTTATTTTATGTGTATGAGTGTATTGCCTGCATGTATGTGAGCGCACCCGTGTCGTGCAATGCTGCAGAGGTCAGAAGAGGGCTTCGGATTCCCCTGGAACTGGAGTTAAGGACAGTTTGTAGCCACCATGTGTGTGCTGGGAATCGAACCCAGGTCCTTTGCAAGAGCAGTCAATGCTCTTAGCCACTGAGCCATCTCTCCGAATTTTCTTTTTTAAAGTTTAAAAAAAGCACAGTTAAATTATTGCTATGGAAAAAAAAAAAAAACGAATTTCAGAAGGAAATACTATAAGCCTCCCCTCCAAGAAGGGTACTGTAAATACCTATGAAAATACCATGATTTAAAAACACTGCTTGCAACCATTTGTGTAATTCCAACATTTGGGAGACTGAAGCAGGAGGATTACTGTGAGTTCAAGGCCAGCCTGGGATACAGAGTTACATAGCAAAGTCTAGGCTACAGAATGAGATTCTGCCTCAAAAACAAAGACCAAACAGAGGCTAGACAGATGGCTCAGCAGTTAAGAGAGTGTGCTGCTCTTGCAGCGGACGGGCCCGGGTTCATGGTTCCCAGCACCCATGTCAGGTAGTTAACAACTGCTTGTACTCCAGCTCCAGGGGATCCAACGCCCTCTTCTGCCCTCTGCAGGCACCTGCACTCATGTGCACATACCCGCCTCACACACATATACGTAATTAAAAAAAAAATTTTTGTTTTTTGGCTTTTTGAAGCAGGGTCTCCCTGTAGCCCCAGCTGTCCTGGAACTCACTATGTAGACCAGGCTGGCCTTGAACTCATAGAGATCTGCCTGCCTCTGCCTCCCGAGTGCTGGGACTACAGGCATGTGCCACCACACCCAGCTGCAATTAAAAATTTTTTTATTGATTTATTTTATGTATATGAGTGTTTTGCCTGCATGGATGTAAGTGCACCCGTGTCTGCACAAGCCAGAATAGGGCATTGGATCCCTTGGAATTGCAGTTATGGTTAGTTGTTATCCTCCATGTAGGTGCTAGGGAACCAAACCCAGGTTCTCTGCAAGAGTATCCAGTGCTCTTAACCACTAAGCCATCTCTCCAGCTCCCCATACATATAGTTAACAAACAATAAATCTCATAAGAAAAAAATTACTTATTCTGGGCAAAGGATTGATCAAATTCAAAACAATACCAACATTACCAGTTACCCTTGTAAGATTCTTTTTTGACAGGGTCTCCCTAGTCACAGCTGGCCTGGAGCTCACTAAATGAACCAGGCTGGCCTTGATCTCACAGAAACCCACCTTCCTCTGCTTCCCAAGGGCTAGGATTACAGGCAAGCACCACCACACCCGGCTCTCCTGAAACTACATACGTCATAATCACAATGTTTTATCTATTTTGGGGGGTGGTGACAGTATTGAATTGAACCCAGAGTCTCATCCATGCTAGGCAGTACTCTACCACTGAGCTGTATACACCCACAGCCCCATAATTGTTTTCATTTCTTTTTTATTTACATAGATGTGTGTGTGCACACATGTATGGGGGTGCCTGAGGAGGCCAGACGAGGGCATCAGATCCCCTGGAGGTGAAGTTACATGCAGTTGTGAGCATCCGATATGGGTGCTGAGAACCAAACCCGGGTCTTCTCCAAGAGCAGCAAGGGCTCTTAGCTGCTGAGCGCTTGGGTGGTTTCTTTGCCCTCTCCCCCAGTTTTCTTTTTGTTTGAAGGTAAGTCGGTCATCGTGACATTTCACTTCCACATACTTCAGTGAGCAGGTCCCTCACTGTGCTCCTCACAGGCGCCTCAGTGCCTGTGACCGAAGCCTCTGTCAAAGTGCAGGCTCCGACTGCCCTTCAGAGCAGCACTGAGGCTCTGCTTTCCTAATGCTGTGAGGGTGCCACGCAGTGCACCCAGCCACACTGAGCAGGAGACTAAGAATCAGGACATCCTTGTCTGCTGCTGCGAGGCCTTGGCTTGCCTAAGAAAATTTTCAATACCAGTCCACATTCTGATCCCCCAATGCCTTTAGACCAGTCCACATTCTGATCCCCCAATGCCTTTAGACCAGTCCACATTCTGATCCCCCAATGCCTTTAGACCAGTCCACATTCTGATCCCCCAATGCCTTTAGACCAGTCCACATTCTGATCCCTCAATGCCTTTAGAGTTTTTCTCCTTCTCCCAAGCATTCTCCAAACAAGAGTCATGCGTGTTCAGCTTAGTCTTAGGAGCCTAGAGCCGTCCTTCCTGACACCCTCCCCCATTACTGGCCACTCCAAGGCTTTGAAAGAGATCAAACCTGTGTGTTGTCTCACAGAATATCCCACAATCTGGATTTGCCAGTGCTCAAGGTCCAGCTAGTTCTTTAGCCCCTATGTTTCCTATGAACAGAGAACCAAGTGGGCTGATGTCAGGTTGAACTTGTACTACTGGACAGCCACACTGGTGACAGGACAACACATGATGCAGGAAAAGCTGGTTCTAACCACTTGCACAAGGTGGAGACATAGGACCACCCAACCTAAAAGGTTCTCTTTTCAAACTCAGAATTCATCTGGAAAAACCTCATCATCGACAAACCTTTCTCTTAATGACCCTTGCCTCCCTCCCTCCCTCCCTCCCTCCCTCTCCTTCCTGTGTGTGATGAGTATGGAAGTCAGAGGATGACTTACAGGAGTCAGTTCTCTCCTTCCACCATATGTTCCAGGGACTGAACTCAGATCATCAGACTTGGCAGCAAGTACCTTTACCTGCTTTGCCATTTTGCCGGCTCCCTTGCCTGAATTATTTCACTGAGGTTCATAAGATGCTCATTTGCTACTTCTGTTATTCCAATTCTATTATGTATAGAACTGGCATTCTTCTGTAAAGACTTTTTGTTTATCATGTGGGGGTGAATTAGTTCCTCCTTTAGAAGAGGTGGGGTTGAGTATGTGGCTTAGTTGGTAGAGTTCTTGCTTAGAATGCCAAAGAGTAGGCGTAAACCCCAACAGCCCCCAAAGAGTAAGCTTAAACCCAACAGCCCCCCAAAGAGTAGGCTTAAACCCCAACAGCCCCCCAAAGAGTAGGCTTAAACCCCAACAGCCCCCCAAAGAGTAGGCTTAAACCCCAACAGCCCCCCAAAGAGTAGGCTTAAACCCCAACAGCCCCCCAAAGAGTAGGCTTAAACCCCAACAGCCCCCCAAAGAGTAGGCTTAAACCCCAACAGCCCCCCAAAGAGTAGGCTTAAACCCCAACAGCCCCCCAAAGAGTAGGCTTAAACCCCAACAGCCCCCCAAAGAGTAGGCTTAAACCCCAACAGCCCCCCAAAGAGTAGGCTTAAACCCCAACAGCCCCCCAAAGAGTAGGCTTAAACCCCAACAGCCCCCCAAAGAGTAGGCTTAAACCCCAACAGCCCCCCAAAGAGTAGGCTTAAACCCCAACAGCCCCCCAAAGAGTAGGCTTAAACCCCAACAGCCCCCCAAAGAGTAGGCTTAAACCCCAACAGCCCCCCAAAGAGTAGGCTTAAACCCCAACAGCCCCCCAAAGAGTAGGCTTAAACCCCAACAGCCCCCCAAAGAGTAGGCTTAAACCCCAACAGCCCCCCAAAGAGTAGGCTTAAACCCCAACAGCCCCCCAAAGAGTAGGCTTAAACCCCAACAGCCCCCCAAAGAGTAGGCTTAAACCCCAACAGCCCCCCAAAGAGTAGGCTTAAACCCCAACAGCCCCCCAAAGAGTAGGCTTAAACCCCAACAGCCCCCCAAAGAGTAGGCTTAAACCCCAACAGCCCCCCAAAGAGTAGGCTTAAACCCCAACAGCCCCCCAAAGAGTAGGCTTAAACCCCAACAGCCCCCCAAAGAGTAGGCTTAAACCCCAACAGCCCCCCAAAGAGTAGGCTTAAACCCCAACAGCCCCCCAAAGAGTAGGCTTAAACCCCAACAGCCCCCCAAAGAGTAGGCTTAAACCCCAACAGCCCCCCAAAGAGTAGGCTTAAACCCCAACAGCCCCCCAAAGAGTAGGCTTAAACCCAACAGCCCCCCAAAGAGTAAGCTTAAACCCAACAGCTCCCCAAAGAGTAAGCTTAAACCCAACAGCCCCCAAGCAGAGTGAATCCCTGACTTTACCAGTTTTCAGTTATTTAGTGTAGGAGCCTTTTACAGCAATAGCAATTCCTTCTCATTTTTCATCACACAGACTTACTTTCATTCAAGGGTTACAAAAAAAAGTTTTGAACGTCTTAAAAATAGCCCATTTTGGGCCAGTGAGAAGGCTCAGAGCATAAAAACAGCTGCCACTTGCCACCAAGACAGACAACTTGAATTCAGTCCCTCAGACCCACATAGTAGAAAGAGGGAACCAGCTCCAGCAAGTTGTCCTCTGATCTCTGCACACACACCATGGCATGCATGCCCATGCCTGCGCGCGTGCGCGCACACACATACACACATACACACACACACACATACTAAATGTTTTTTTTAATTACTGATGCTTTAAAAAGTAGCCTATTATCCAAGCTCTTCTCCCACCCCCCATTTTTTTCTAGCGGGGTTAGAACCCAGGACCTAGATCATGCTAGGCAACTGGTCTACCACCGTCAGCCCACGCCCCCCAAGCACGCCTTTCAACTGTGAGCTTGAAAAATGAGCTTGTGCATTAGATTGCTATCAGGAACCTTTTCAGATATACAGGTAAAACTCTGCCTTCCACATATTGTCTATAGCAGTAAATCTCAAATTTTAATATGCACAAAAATCACTTGGTTATAAAATGCAAATAAAGAGCAAATTGTGACCCGCGGTTCTGAGTTGGCTCCTAAGAGCCTACACGTCTAAGAAGCTCCCAAGTGATGTCAGTCTGCCTGGTTGTTGTCAACACCTGCAGTAACAAGGGTTTACAGGGTCCGAACACACAGAGAAAACGTCTGCTCTGAGTTACAGACCTTATGTTTAACCTCAACTATTAACACCAGCAAGGTATGCCTGTGGACGCAACAGTGGCATGAACGTCGTGGACCACTTCCTGATTGGATTTTAGGCTGGTCCAGAGAAGGCGATGTATGCCTGGTACCGTAAACCTGGCAAAACCCATGGCTGTGGAGCGTGTAGGCCCAGAGGTGAGCCTACTGCTATGATTTTGATAAGTGGACATAGTATTCAACCCTCTAAATTCTGACCTCTCTACCCATAGCTAGTGCAGCCCCCAGACCTCGTCAGAGAAGTTTCTTTGTGCAGTAGATGGTGGTTAATGCAGAGACTCGAAACTAGTCAAAGTGCAGAGAATAAGAATCTGCAGAGTGCTCAGCCATAACGGGGCATCATATCTCACCCCACCCCAAAGGCTAGGGACCGCTGAGGAACACGGGGAGGGAAGAGCATAAGAGCCAGAGATCAGGGAAGACCAGTGCAACACAGCGTCATCCGAAGAGACAGTGACCTCTGGACATGACAGGACCACCGTCTTCAGAACTCACAGCAACTGTGGTTGCGGCCCAAGACCTACACAAGGTCAAGCCAGTCAACATTCCAGCATGGAGGGGGAGAGGCTCAGGAGCTACTCGGAACTGATGGATGCTGGGAGAGGGAGAGGCGGTTTTCTTTAAGGGTGTCCCTGGTAGGTCAACCATGCTCCAGTGGATGGCCCCACACCCACGAGTATATGGGCATCACAAATTGGACTTGGTGGGCTATTAAAAAAAAGAGGGATGAAGTTGGGGGGTTAGGGAAGAGTTGGGGGTGAACCTGGGGGGAGTTAGGGGAGGAGCTGGAGTGAATATAATCAAAACAAAATGTATGAGCCAAGCACGGGGGTGCACACCTTTAATCCCAGTACAGAGGCAGGCAGATCTCCGTAAGATTGAGACCAGCCTGGTCTACATAGCAAGTTCCAGGATAGCTGGGAATACAGGGAGACCCTGTCTCAAAAACAAAAACAAAAACATTGTATGCATGAACTTCTCAGAGAATAAAATTATATATTTTAAAAATATATTATTATTTTTTTATTTTATGTGTATTGCGTGTATTATTTGCATGTAGGTAAGTGCACCCATGTGTGCAATGCCCACGAAGGACAGAAGAGGCTGTCCGATCCCCTGGACCTGGAGTTACAGTTGTTAGCTGCCATGTGGGTGCTGGGATTCAAACCTGGGTCTTCTGCAAGAACAACCAGTGTTCTCAACTGCTGAGCCATGTCTCCAGACCCATAAAATTATGTTTTAAAATATTAACGTTGAAGCTGGAGAGCTCGCTGAGCAGTGCTCTTGCAGAGAACCCAGGTTCAATTCCCAGCACCTGCATGGGGGCTAATAACTCCCTAATTCCAGTTCCAGGGGAATCTGATGCCCTCTTCTGACCTCTGTAGGCACTGCATGTCACAGTCCACTTACATACATGCAGACAATACATACATACACATAAAATGAAAATAATAAGTAAGGGGGCTGAGAGATGGCTCAGCAGCTAAGAGCACTGACTGCTCTTACAGAGGACCTGGGTTCAAGTCCCAGCACCCACATGGCAGCTAAGAACTGTCCTTAACTCCAGTTCCAGGGGAATCTGATGCCCTCTTCTGACCTCTGTGGCACTGCATGACACGGGTGCACTCACATACATGCAGGCAATACACTCATATACACAAAATAATGAATATAATTTTAAAAATAAAAAATATCAATGCCAATGTGTATATCCTTAAGCAGTTTCTCATTTTTTAAAACCTATAACCTGTCTACTTGCCAGAAGTTCCTGTCTGATACTTATTGGAGTACACGGAAAATTACCTCCTATGCTCTCCCTAGTTCAGTATTACAACGTCATAGATATGGCTGCAATAAACACATAACTGACTTGCCTCTCCCCAAAGGCCAACATCATTTTTACAGTGTCACAGGTGCCACAACCCAGCTAAATAAGCCCCGAGACCCAGACTCACCTTGACAGCACTGGCCTTCACCTGGGGCACCTGGGCCATCCTCTGCAGATGCCAAAGCAGTGCGGCCTCGGTGAGGTCATTCTCAGGCAGAAAATACTGGTACACATCATACTGCAGCCTCCACCTGAAGTCCTGGCCTGTGCCCACATCGCAAGACGGAGGCTCCTCATCTCTAAAGTCAACCAACAAAACTGAGCATCAGTCTCTTGTGGTACAAGTTCCATCTATAAAAAGGAACCAGAGCTCTAATTTCACACTTCTGCACACACGATTCCAGTTCAACAGTTCAGGAGAAGAGCTCGTATTCTAGAGGAGAGTAGCACGCGGCTATGGACTAGATTTTGTACTGCTCAAAAATCATGTCTTGAAATCCCTGCCTCCAATGTGCTGGTTTTAGAGGTCAGGCTTTGGGAAAATGATTAGGTCATGAGGGTGGAGGTCTTCTGAATGGGATTAGTGTCCTTACAGAAGAGACCCCAGACGGCTCTGGCTTTCTTTCATTCTCATAAGGATTCATTGAGAAGTCTGCAACCCAAAGGAGGGCCCTCACCAGGCCCAAAAGCACTGGCTCCCTGACCTTTGTCCAGCCTCCAGAACCATGAAAAATGAACTTCTGGGTGTGGTGGTGCAGGCCTGCAATCTTAGCTCTTGAAAGGCAGAAGGAGGATCATTACATGTGCAAGACCAGCCTGTTCTACACAGTGATTTCCAGGCCAATCAGGGATACTTAGTAAGCCTCTGCCAAGAAAAAGAAGGGGGGGGAGGGAGGGAGGGAGGATTTATTTCTGTTGTTCATAACCCACCCATCAAGTCTCTGATACAAGCTGACCATTCTTAATCTGAAATTCTGAAACTTAAAATGTTCTGAAACCTGAAACTTTTGGGACACTAACATAATACTTGAAAAGATTTAAATTTGGAAACATTTTAGGTTTTCAGACTAAGGATGTTCAAGCATTAAAGTCTATGCAAGTACTTCAAAATTCTCTGAAATTTCAAACACTTCTAGCCCCAAACTTTTCATATAAGGGACACTTAGCTTGTACTTTTATTATAGCAACAGAGGCTAAGATGTACTGAGAGAGGCTGGTGTGATTAAATAACCAGATTCTGACGTGAGTCAGGCCCAGAGCAATCAATGCCTTTGCCATTTGCTACTGTGTGCCTGTGGTCAGTCACCTAACCTCAAATGTCTCATAAAACCTCTCTGTAAAATGGGAACAACAGCTCCTTCTTCATAAAATTATTAAAATTAACAACAAGGAACACACAGCTCCAGCTCTGTGGGTGACAGGCCTGCCGGAAGTTTTCAAATGTCACCGACGTTATTGCTATTAAAGTAGATCCATAAGCAGAGTTCTGAAAACCTAAATCCTTTTAAGGCATGAGGGTGAGGGGGCTTCTGGTTTTAGTTTTGGTTTGTTTTGAGACAAGGTCTCACTCCAGCCCACCTGGCCTTCATCTCACTACGTAGACCAAGCTGGCCTCAATCTCACATAGGTCCACCTGCCTCTGCCTCCACAGTGCTGGGATTCAAGGTGTGCGCCCGCCACCAAGCCCAGCTGAAATAAGGATGTTTTACAGTTATGAAATGACTTCTATATGTAAATCCTATAAGAAGACTAAGATGCAGTTCCAAACTCACAACAGACTCACACCTGTCTCTTCAAATGAAGACTTTGCAAGACTGGAAGAGGGCATCAAATCAAATATTAATAATGAGGCTTAAATTATGCATATTCCCCCAATTAGAAACAATTGGACTTTACTACAGAAAAACACGGACATGAAGCAGTTTGCTGAGCCCACCTACTAGGCATGAGAGGGTAGTTTTTGGTCTTTTTGAGACAAGGTCTCCCTGTATCCCCAGCTGACCTGGAACTCACTATGTAGACCAGGCTGGCATTGCCCTTACAGAGATCTGCCTGCCTCTGCCTCCCTCCTGAGTGCTGGGACTAAAGGCATGTGCCACCACGCCCAGCTAGTCATGAGAGTTTTAAGAGAAATGTTAGCAGAAGGACCCATCATACCTTGCATAGCCTAGGTTTGCTGGGGCAAATTTGATAGTTGTTTCAAAAAAATTATAGTCCAAGTAAATGTTGGGATCAATATCTAAATCAAACTCCAAATTACAGCCTCCGGGAATAGGATCTGGATGAAAAATAGGGAAGTTACTAAACAGCATTTTTTTCATGCTCCAGAAAACATCATTAACAACTTCCTGTCTAGAAATAGCTCAGAGTTCCAACATTTGTGCTGTACCATGAACTGGTGTTAGAAAGGGTAGTGTTGAGATTAAGGGTCCTAGAGCAGAAGACAGCCAGACATGGTGGGTGTGATGGTAATATTGTCAACTTAACAGACTACTGTCAGATGGAGACAAACACCTGGGTGTTCTGGAAGGGAGTTTCTAGACTGGTTAATAAAATGTAGGCGGCACCTTCCACAGGCTATGGTCCTAGAAGACTGGGTAAAAGAGAGAGAGAGAGAGAGAGAGAGAGAGAGAGAGAGAGAGAGAGAGTTGAGCACCAGCATTTGGCTTTCTGCATCCTGAATATGACCACGATGTGACCAGCTGCCTCCGGCGCTTGCTGCCAGCCAGCCTTCCCCCTCATGGGGGACTGTACCAGTGAACCATAGTTAGCCAAAATAAATCCATCCTTCAATAAGGTGTTTTGTCATTATAACGGGAAAAGTCACTAACCCAGTGGGTCTGAAAGCTCTTGTAGCTGCTAAGCGACTCTGAGCACTGACATTACGAGGTGTCCACAAAGTGGAAAAGGTGGCGTCCTCTCTGTTGGAACAGTCTGCGCACGTATGAATGGACAAAGCGAAAGAACCCGACACCATTTATAGGAATAAATGTTTATTTGATTAAATGCAATATAAATATTGGAAATTTAATTCACATAAAAAAATGTATGCACAAAAATAGGCAGCAAACTGGATTGAGCTTCTGGTCTACAGCTTGCCAACCTGCCCTAGAATTACAAAGGTAAAGAAACAGACTCACAAGCTGGGGTAAAAAAATGGTTTCTAGGGCCTCCAGGAACACCCAGAAATGCCAAACATTGAATTTGTGCATTTCTTTCCAAGAGGAGTGTTGTGGTTTGTATGCAAAAGGGCCCAGCCCCCCGGCTCATAACCTTCAATGCTTGGTCCCCACCTGGTGGCGCTGTTTTGAGCTGTAGAACCTTAGAGATGTGGGTCTCACTGGGGGCAGACCCTGAAGGTTACACCCACCTGAGCCCTCCCTGTCCACTGCCATGGAGTGTATCCCACAGGCTCCCACCGCCATGGAGTGCACACACACGCTCCCCCCGATGGAGGGCACCCAGACGTTCCCGCCCATGGAGTGCACACATATGCCTCCCCCATGGGGGGCTCACACAGACGCTCCTCCCATGGAGGGCACACACACATTCCCCTGCCATGGTCGGAGCTTCTGTCATCACGCATTCTCTGGCAGGACGGCCTGAAATCCCTCTGTAGCTGAGCCAACATAAATCTTTCCTCCCTTAGGTGCTTAAAGTCAGTGACAAGACACAAAAGTAACACAAGTTTGTATTAAGTTTCGAGGGTCTAGGGCTCCCAAAACGCTTAAACTACCAGGTATGGTAGGACACACTTATAATCCCAGCACTCGAGAGGTAGATGGAGAGCAATCAGGAGTTTAAGGCCATCATCTACTGTACAGCGAGCTCAAGGTTAACACAGACTATATACAAGACACCCTACACACAGGAAAGCTTAACATTCAGTGGATAGCGGGGGTTGGGGGGAGGACAGGGTCAGGACCAAGAAGAAAAGAGCTCTGTGGGTAATGGAGGAAGACGTGGCCACTTTCCCAGCCACTCCTGAAGTCATCCTCTCACCTGGGAGTCTTGGTGTGTGCATCAAAGACTAAAAGCAAAGGAAACCAAGGCCATGTATGGGAGTGAATGGGCATTTAATCAAACACAAGATAAATGTTGGCTATTTAATTTCCAGTCAACATGTGACTGATGCAGTCCCTCCTTCCTATTAGGAACCCTACTCATGACCTTTAGGCATGCCCCGCCCTCCTCGAAGAAGTCACGTGAAGAACTGGGTACATGAAGATAAGCGGGATCAGGCGCAGCAGTGTAAGGTTCAGAAGACCAGGACTCCAGGCACTTACCACCCTACCCCTCCCACAGCTGGGTCCTAATTCCCACACACGGCTGGAACTCTGGTGGTAGACTTTCCCTGGCAAGACCCAGGATGGTGAGCAGTCTGTACCTCTTAGCGGGATGTGACTCTTCTCTACAGTATGAGCTCTCCTTTCATGTTCTCTTTTCCTACACTTACATTTATCACACCCGAGAAACGACACATTCCAGTTAAAGCTCCTGTTTGTAATGTCTTAAGATATTATTTTATTTTTATGTGTCTGTGTGTACGTGTGTGCAGTGCCTGCAGAGGCCAGAAGGCAACAGAGCCCCTGGAGCTGCGGTTCCACACAGTTGTGAGCCACCCAACATGTGCGCTGGGAACCGAACCCAGGTCCTCTTCAAGAGCAGCAAGTGCTCTTAACTGCTGAACCCTCTCGTCAATCGCTGGGATTGTTTTATATATGTATTGTCTTTGATGGACTCGATGTTCACGGCTTTCATCAGGTAATTAAATGACGTTTTCTCCCTGCAATTCTCATGGTTTTCTGGATTCTACTCCCTTTAGTAACCACTGTCCCCTCTTGTTCCTTTTATCCCTAATTTTTTTTTCCAAGCCCTCTAAGTAAGCCCACACTAAATAAGTACGCTACCTAAATTCCCTCATCTTACCTTCTCAGTCACTATAACCTGGCTCTCGTTCCTACTATGCCATGAAAACAGTGCCCTGATTGGACGCCGCTCCACCGCCGGACACTTCTGTACCATTCACCACTGTTCACCTAAGGCAGGACCTCTAGGAGCGCCTTCCTGCAGACAGCTCAACCTGTGCTCACGCCCCAGGAGCAGGCTTCCCCAGGTACAGTGCCCAACATGTGGTCAGCCCTAGGAAAGAATCTAATCCCTAGAGAACACTGGTGCATGGTCTCGCTTCAACGCCAGCCGAGTTTCTAACCCCACTCCTCTACAGCAGGCTGGTATTTAACTGCCCACTATGCACTTCCATTCAGATGGCCTCCAAGCATCTCAGATTCACTGTGTCTCAAATGGAAGCCATTACAGTATTGGACTCTACCCCCAGCACCACAAAAGCCCTGTTCTAAACCTATTTTGGATCACAATCTCCAAGCTATCCAAATAAGAGGCCCAGGGTCCTCTTCAATGATATCTAGGCACTGACTACTGTGCCTAACTGGCTCCACCTCCCCAAACCCCCAGCTCATGGCCTCTGTTCAGATGCTTATTTTTCCATTCTGAGTCCTCACAAGTCAGCCCTCTTCTGGCTGTTGTTTCTTCATGTAGCCAGGCTGACCTTGAACTTACTATGTAGCTGAGGATGACTCAGAACTGTTGATCTTGTGCTCCACCTCCTGAGCACTGGGATTACAGGCATGTCCAGCTTTATGTAGTGCTGGGGACTGAACCCAGGGCATCATGCATGCTGGGCAGTCTGCCAACCAAGCTACACCCCGACCCCTCTAGAGTCAGATTTCTAAGAAGTGAAACGGACTACATGGTTCCTGTGCCCAAACCTTTAAGCTTCTTCAAGACAGTGCAAACGGCGTTTGAGGCCCTTCACCCTGTCTCTAGACAAGTCCCCTGCTCACCATTCTCCAAACCCCGCATCTTCTTTTTCGTTTTGTTTTTTTTGAGACAGAATCTCACTATGTAGCCCTGGCTGGTCTGGAACTTGCCATGTAGACCAGGCTGGCCTAAAAATCACAGAACTCCACCTGGTCCTGCTTCCTGAGTGCTGGGATTAAAGGCATGCGCCACCACACTTGGTCACCCTGCATCTTCTTAAAGACACTGAACACACTGCTTCCTCTACAGAGAATAACCAGCAGCCATGAAGAACTAGGTCTGATTCCGCTTTTCCAAGGACCATTTAATGACCTCTCCCAGTCACCACATGCACATCAATCAACACGGTAATTCTCTGCCTCTCTTGCACGAAAACATTGCTGATTAAATAAATTGTAATAAGCAACACTAACAAGATTATTTGCCTGATATTTCCGCAAACACAGACCATATTCCACAGATCAACAGGGACAGAAAAGTTACCTCCTTCTGAGTAAGGGAGTGGAATGGCTACGTTTTTGACAGGCTTGGTATCTTCAGTCCCCAAGTACCAAGTGCATACGGTCTGCTCAGGTCTAAGAGTGAAGACCAGTCCTCCGTCGTTGCCTGTTTCTGAGGCGTTGGGAAGGAGAGTCTGCAATTATGAAGCAAAGTCAGTATGAAAATGAAATTTTAAAACACACATTGTAGAGTTGACCTAGTGTGCACAGCCTTTTCCAAATCTTCTCAAAACAATAATGAAAAGTGTCCGTCCTCCTTACGGAGTCCTTTTCACCTCTGTTCACACACCCACACCCACACCATGTGTATGCGTGTTAGGTCTGCATGTAGGTAAGTGCACCCGTGTCGTGCAATGCCCGCAGAGGACAGAGAGGCTGTCGGATCTCCTGGAACTGGAGTTATGGACAGTTGTTAGCTGCCACGTGGGTGCTGGGATTCGAACCTGGGTCTTCTGCAAGGTCAGTGTTCTTAACCACTGGACTATCTCTCCAGCCCAGAAGGACTCTTTAAAAAAACACATCATGGCCAGGCGTGGTGATGCACGCCTGTAGTCCCAGCACTCGGGAGGCAGAGGCAGGCAGATCTCTGTGAGTTCAAGGCCAGCCTGGTCTACATAGTGAGTTCCAGGACAGTTGGGGCTACAGGGAGACCCTGTCTCAAAAAGACCAAAAAAAAAAAAAAAACAAACAAAAAAACACATCATGGTCTCAGTCAGTTTGAGCTGCTATAACAAAATACATTAATTAGGTTTGATGGTTTATAAACAACAGGAAGTTATTTCTTACAGTTCTGGAGGCTGGAAATCTGGGATCAGAGTCCAGCATGGTCAGGTTCAGGTCGGGGACCTCTTCCAAGCTGCAGACTACCAACTTCTGACTGTGTCATCACATGGCAGAGGGGGGGAGTGCTCTTGGGGGGACTGTTTTATAGGGGTACAAATCTTACTCCCAAAAGCTTTCTGGTCATGGCCTGCCACTGCCTACAGTTTCTACTTTTTATGTTGTGTTTATATGTATATGTTCATGTGTGTGCACATGTGTAAGTGTGTGAACACGCATGTGGAGACGTCAGGGTCTTCCTCACTTACTTTTCACCTTTAAAATAAAAATCTTAAATTTATTTTTATTTTACATGTATAAGTGTTTTGCCTGCATGTATGTAAGTGCACCCATGTCATGCAATGTCCATGAGGTCAGAAGAAGGCATCAGATCCCTGAACTGGAGTTAAGGGTGGTTGTTAGCCACCATGTGGGTGCTGGGAGTCAAACCTAGGTCCTCAGCAAGAGCAGACAGTGTTCTTAACTGCTGAGCATCTCTCTAGCCCAACCCCTTTATTGTTTGAGTCAAGGTCTCCGACAGCCAGCTATACTGGCTGTCCAGTGAGCCCCAGAGATCCTTCTGTCTCTGCCTCCCCAGTGCTGGGATTACAAACCCACATCACCAGGCCAGGCTTTTTTAAAAAAAAATTTAAGGTCGTTCTTGAGATCAAACTCATAGCCTTGTGTTTTCTATCTGATTGAGCCATATCTGCCACCCTGTTTCTACCTCTTAATTCCAAGGCACTGGAGGTCAGGGTGTGGCCCAGTGGTAGAGCACGTGCATAAGATGATGCCTGGGTTTCATACCCAACACCATGGAGGGAAAAGTAAGTGAAAGCCCTAGGAGCTGCACACTGAATTTCTCAAGCACTACAGTTCAACAGAATCAGTGTTTACTGCACCAGCGCCACAGCTACCAAGGAAAAGTATGAACCTTGTCCCAGGGAGCTCAGTTTCTGGAAAGCTTTCATTCTCTGAGATGGGCTCATATGGCCCCGGCAGCTCAAACTCACTACATAGTTGAAGCTGGCCTTGAACTCCAGATCCTCCTGCCTCTACTTCCCAAGCACTGGGATCATGTGTGTGCACCACCATGTCCAGTTCAAGTGGTGCTGAAAACTGAACCCAGGATTTCATGCATGTTAGGTAAACGCTCTACAACTTAACTACATCCCCAGCCCAGAAAGCTTTTAGCTGGCCTATTATAAACTTCATATGAATGCTGGGCCTATAATCCTCCCACTCAGGAAGCTATCACAGGAGAATCACCATGAGTGAGAGAGCCATCTGAGCTACACAGTGAGTTCCAGAGCAGCCTGCGCTACATAATGAGAACCTTTTTAAATAAATAACTTTACAAAAAGTACATTTGGTAAGGTTTGATGCACAGGTACTATGACTCCATCACTGAATCAAGACTGAGCAAGTGCATCACCCTAGACAGGTTCCTAGCGCCAATTCCTAACCTTCCTGCAAACGCCTCCCCTCCCGTTTAGAAAGCTGTTTAATAAAATGCTAAGAAGGAACCGAGTCAGAATGTCCTCTGAAAGCTGAGGGGGTAAAAAGCAAACATACTAGATGGGGCTCAACTTGGGAAGCCCGAGACAAAGATAATTATCTACAGCCATGACAGCCCGAAGAGCCACGTGTGCCCTCATCACTGGAAGGGATGGAGGACACAAACGCTGCTCTTCACACACACCCCTAGCCCCGAGCAGTCCTGCTCCTCTCAGTAGTATGATAGCGGACAGCGCAGAAGAAACCATAACTCAGGATGACCAAGGTCTTATAACCGAGATCTTGCTACACGGAAATCAAGGCCCAAGGCGCTGTCACCCAGGCCTCTTCTATCAAGTATTAGCAAATGCGGGCAAGTCTGCAACCAAACTGTTTCTTCAGATGTAGGCATGAGACAGTGACCACTGTATGGGTCAGCTTAAAAACTGAGCCAACGGCTGAAGAGATGGCTAGGGGTTAAGAGCATTGGCTGCTCTTGCAGAGGACCTGGGTTAAGTTCCCAGCACCCACATGGCAGCTAACAACCATCCGTAACTCTAGTTCCAGGGGATCCTATGGCCTCTTCTGACCTCCACATGCATTGTACGACACAGGTGCACCTATCTACATGCAAGCAATACACTCATACACATAAAATAAAATAAAATAAATTTTTAACAAGCTAAGCCGAATGGGAGTTCCTCACCAGTAGCTGGAGGTCCCACTGAGTTCCCAGAGGTCACGAGACTCTGCCTAGATAGATCCCATAGAACTTCATATTTTGCCTGAAAGACCCTAGACTGTAAGAGTCTCTAGGCTCAAGAAGTTAATTAATCTAGCACATAGGAATGCAGGCTGGAGCAATGGCTCAGCAGTTAAGAGCACTGGTTGTTCTTACAGAAGACCCACAATCAATTCCCAGCACCCATATGACAGCTAACAACTACCTATAACTTCAGTTTCAGGGATCTGATGCCCTCTTCTGGCCTCTATGGGCACTGCACACACATGCACACCTAAAGCACACTCACACATAGAAATAAATCTTTAAAAGTAGAAATGTCTTTTCCCCAAATTCTCGTTATCAATGAAATCTTGTCACTTGCAATAATGTGACGGCACTGAAGATCCTTTATGGCTGACCCTTCTCAGCTATGCCCATCCAAGGCACTTTAAAGTGCTGCAGTGGATGTTGCACCTGCAGGGTTAGTGACGACACCAGAAGAGGCCTCACTCCTGCTGAAGCTCTGCTTGAGGCTGGATGAGCTGGGGCTAGAACTTCCTTCGTCTTCATAAAAAACCCCAGGGAATGCAGCTGATCCTAGGGGCTCTTGGTAAACTACAGGACTAAGCAGCTAAATCATGATGGGAACACAGCAAAATGTGTTCTACAGGAAGACAACGGAAAGGTGGGAATCAGGAGGAAAACCTGAGTGTGAGAAGAGACTGTAGGCAGGGAGCCCTCTCTATCACCAGCTCAGCTCTCCATCTCCATCAGCACCTCAGCTCTCCATCACCATCACCATCACCAGCTCAGCTCTCCATCTCCATCAGCACCTCAGCTCTCCATCTCCATCATCACCAGCTCAGCTCTCCATCTCCATCAGCACCTCAGCTCTCCATCACCATCACCATCACCAGCTCAGCTCTCCATCTCCATCAGCCCCTCAGCTCTCCATCTCCATCATCACCAGCTCAGCTCTCCATCTCCATCAGCCCCTCAGCTCTCCATCTCCATCATCACCAGCTCAGCTCTCCATCTCCATCAGCCCCTCAGCTCTCCATCTCCATCATCACCAGCTCAGCTCTCCATCTCCATCAGCCCCTCAGCTCTCCATCTCCATCATCACCAGCTCAGCTCTCCATCTCCATCAGCCCCTCAGCTCTCCATCTCCATCATCACCAGCTCAGCTCTCCATCTCCATCAGCCCCTCAGCTCTCCATCTCCATCATCACCAGCTCAGCTCTCCATCTCCATCAGCCCCTCAGCTCTCCATCTCCATCATCACCAGCTCAGCTCTCCATCTCCATCAGCACCTCAGCTCTCCATCACCATCACCATCACCAGCTCAGCTCTCCATCTCCATCATCATCACCAGCTCGGCTCTCCATCACCATCACCATCACCATCTCAGCTCTCCATCTCCATCACCATCACCAGCTCAGCTCTCCATCACCATCATCTCCATCACCACCTCAGCTCTCATCACCAGCATCTCCATCACCACTCCAGCCCAGGTTTCCTCCCCCACACTCCATCACTAACTTGGCAAGACCCAATTTTCATTTCTGAAATTTAAAAAAAAATTATTATTTTTATTTTATGTGTATGAGTGTATTGCCTGTATGTAAGTGCACCCAAGTTGTGTGATGCCTAATGAGTTCAGAAGAGGGCATCGGATCCCCTGGAACTAGAGTTAGGGGGTTGTTAGCCTCCATGTGGGTGCTGGGAATTGAACCCCGGTCCTCTTCAAGATCAGTCGGTGCTCTTAACCACCAAGTCATCTCTCCAGTCCCATTTTTATAAAATTTAAGAAACAGAGTCATAAGCATAAAGAAACATCAAATTCTTAAAAGATTCAAAATTCTAGAGATGACGTTTTTACTGAAATAGTTTTTTTGTACTTACCTTAGTAAATGAAACAGTTGTGTTCTGATACTGTGAGTGTATTTGGAAAATAAGAAAAGTCACATTGCTTGAAATTTGATGTAGAGCAGCTTCCACAGGAAAGGGCCTGTTGAGCTCAAAGTATGTAAATTTTCCCACAGAGAATTCAAGAAAACCTACAATGGAAAAATTCCCATTTTAATATTATACCTCTAGTATCAACCCATAGAAATCTCATTCATAAACAAACATATAATGCTAATTTTACCCTGAGAAAAACTCCCTGAGACCCAGGTGTGTAATCTCAGCACTTGGGAGGCTGAAACAGAAGGATCTAAGCACAAGGCCAGCCTGGGCTACATTGGAGATTCTGTTGGGGGTGGAGGGAGTGTGTGATGGGGAGAAAAACTCCCTGAGACCCAGGTGTGTAATCTCAGCACTTGGGAGGCTGAAACAGAAGGATCTAAGCACAAGGCCAGCCTGGGCTACATCGGAGATTCTGTTGGGGGTGGAGGGAATGTGTGATGGGGACAGTGCAACATTAAAGCAGAAACAAGGGCGGACAGAACAGGGGCCTGGCGCACAGAAGGCCCTGGGTTCCATCTTCAGCATCAGTGAAGTGCTTGTCTTGCAAGTCTGAGGACCTGTGTTCACTCCTTGGGGCTCACTGGCCGGTCAGTCTAGCTTCATCAAGTAAGTTCCAAGCCAAGGAGAGACTCTGACTCAATATACAAGGTGGATGTTTCCTAAGGAATGACACACAAGGTTGACCTCTGGCCTCAGTGTGCACATAAATACACATGAACGTGCACCTACACACACACACATAAACCAGGCATGTAAACCAGGCATGATGGCACACACCTTATTACCCTTCACGCCTCTGGCCTCAGTGTGCACATAAATACACATGAACGTGCACCAACATACACACGCATGTAAACCAGGCATGTAAACCAGGCATGATGGCACACACCTTATTACCCTTCACTTGGGAGGTAGAGGCAGGAGGATCAAGAGTACAATGGCATCTTCAGCTACATACTGAGTTTGAGGTTAACCTGGGCCATAGGAAACCCTATTTCAAAGAGAAAAATGGTTGCCAGACTGTGGTGGCACACGCCTTTACTCCAAGCACTCAGGAGGCAGGAGCAGGTGGATCTCTGTGAGATCAAGTCCAGCCTGATCTACATAATGATTTCCAGGCCAGCTATGGCTACAGGGAGACCCTGTCACAAAGACCCCCCCCCCAAAAAAAAGAAAAAAGTAGCCCACCCAAGGGCATTCAGCAAGTAGACAGTGGAATATGGAATGAAAATGCAAGTTAAGATGTAAACACTACCCAAAGCACTGAGGATGGACTCCAGGGCCAGAAATGTTCTCACCTAGTAGGAGAGTAACAATGCTCCTTGGAACAGAGTCCCTGAATTCAAGAATGAGGAACCTGCTGGAGTTCATGAATTTTCTAGAATCAAAGAAGAGGAACATCTAGTCAGGCCCACAGTCTCAGCACTTAAGAGGCAGGAAGATCAGAAGTTCAAAGTCATCCTTGGCCCACAGTGAAATGGGGGCAAGCCTGGGCTACATAGTGAGACCCTGTCTCAAAAAAACAACAAAAAAGAGCAGTATGATCTAGTGAATTCTGAATTCTGAGTTATCAGTGGTGTGATTTTAGGCAAGCTGGTATTCCCTCAAAGTTCATTTTCCCCCAGTATCAAGTGAGGCCTGGAATACCCAACTTGAAAAGCAGGTACCATCAACATTGACAAGTCTGCTGAGGGTCCATGCCAGGCACATCACATTCAACTGTGAACTATGAGCATTCTAGGAAAGGGATCCACTTTATAAGAATCTGGAAGGATCCAGCTGAGAGTCTATAGACAAGACGAGCTAGGACAAGGCGGTTTTCCAGCACCTCATCGAGGTCACCCTGTCTGTCTCCCATCTCCACTGGCTGCACCGACCCCATTTGGCCCATGGTTATCTGTGCTGTCTTCTCCCCCTGATGCAACCAGCTCTTTCTTTTCCCAATCTCATTCTCAAAGACGCCACTGAATTAGGCTTTTACTTCTGTGTGGCCTTGAACTCCCACCTCGCCCTCACCCTCTTGGGATCTGTGTATACAGAGCTAAGACACAGAGCTAAGCTCTGTGTATACAGAGCTAATTTAGAATTGGGGCAGAGTGGAATTTAAGTTTAATACAGATGTAGTTGGGCATGGTGGCGCACACCTGTATCAGCACTAGGAGGCAGGAGGACCAGAGTTCAAGGCCAACCTATGGTATGTAAAAGTTGGAGGCCAGCCTGGGCTACATAAAGATCTTGTCTCACAGCTGAGTGTTTGACCCTAAATGGGACATTTATACCGTCCCCTCTAATGCTCAGGGAACATCATAGAAAGGCGGGGAGCGGGGAGGGGCTGGAAAATAGGGAAAAGGTCTTCTGGGCGTGACGTGGCCATTGCAATCTTGAACTGATAGAAGCTGTGGTTACCTGCAACACGAGGACCTGCATCCAGATCCCAGCACCCACCTGCGGCTGCACACACCTGTAACCCCAGTGCTTGGGACAAGTAGGAGGATCCCTGGGACTTGCTGGCCACCAGCCCAGTGCCAGGCTCAGAGAATCTGGAATAAGGCAGAGGGTGGAAGAGTGGGGAGCCCGGTGCCTCCTCTGGCCTCCACACACACACATATGCACACATACACAAGCACACGTATACACACATGCACATACACACAAGACAAATGGAATATATGTATTTAAAAATTGGTGTAGCCAAGGAGAGCGTTTTCCAGGTGGCTGGGAACTTGCTCATACAAACTTACAGCGGTGGTGACAGCATGCCCAGGACCCATGCAAATGCAAACCAGACAAAAACCCAACCCAGAACTGGGGAAATGGGCAGGAGGCCCCAACTTTAGCCAAGGAACTTTTGGCAGCTGATCACTGCTGGGTGAGGGACAGTTGGTCCTTCTTTAAGGGAGTGATGCTAGATAGGCTGACCAGGCTCCAGTGGATGGACTGAGGGACATCTGGGGACACAAACTTGACATGATGGGTCTTAACATATATGACAATGCATGAAATCTGGTGGGGAACTATGGGGGGTGTGGGTAGGGGAGAGGGTCTAAATATCAAAATCTATTGTATGAAATGCACAAAAATTCAATAAAATATATTGAAAAATAAATAAAAAGTGGTGTAGCAGCCCACACACATAGACCCATACACTTCATCTGTGGATCACTTAGACACCTAAAATAAATACCACATCATGTATTATTTAGAGAACAATGAGAAGGAAAGGTCTGCACATGTTCAGCACAGATACATTTAAAAAATTATTTTCAATCTGCAGCTGGTTGAATCTGCAAGATACAGGGATGGTGGGCCTGGAAGTCCCATGCATATCCGCATGCGTACTGCACGTTCCCATGTATGTGGAAGAAGAAAGATATGTTTGACAGGCCATTCAATAGGTCTTAGGCATCTATCCATGTTCATATTGATAATTCAGGGCCTGAGGCTGCAGGTCAGTGATAGCACTTTTATCTCATATGAGTCAGGCCCTGGGTTTCATCCCAGTACTGAGAGGGGATAAAAGGTCCTTGCAGCTTCACCGTCTTAAGAGCTATTTAGTATTCCATTCTTTGTGAATACCATAAGTATTCAACCTATCTACTGCCGATGAGCATAATCACTACCATTCAGTATGAGAAACAGATTAACAGAAATCTCCATGTGTGGTGGTGCACACCTGTCATCTCAGCACTTGGGGGGTGGAGACAAGAGAACAGGGAGTTCAAGGTCATCCTTGGCTAGATACTAAGTGTGAACCTACATGATTCAATTATCCTACTACATGAGATCTTGTCTCCTCAGGCACCAAGCATGCATGTGAACATACATACATGTAAGCAGAATATACATATAAAATAAAAACTTTTTAAACTCTTTAAAAAAATATTTTATTATTTTTATGTGTATATGTGTATTGCCTGCATGTAGGAAAGTGCACCTATGTCAGGCAATGCCCGCAGAGGACAGAAGAGGCTGTCGGATCCCTTGGATCTGGAATTACGGACAGTTGTTAGCTGCCATGTGGGTGCTGGGATTCGAACCCAGGTCTTCTACAAGAACAGCCAGTGTTCTTAACTGCTGAGCCATCTCTCCAGCCCCCAAAATAAAAATTTTTTAAGAAAAAAACATAATTCTGTTTTGTAGGAGTATATTCTTGAAACCTTGAAGGTCAGGCAATTACACTGTCCAGCAAAAATTTCACATGGGCTAACAGCTAATCTTTGCCCTTAAATGGTTAAACTGTACCTAAGATGTATCCCTGTCTAAAAAATTCATAAATAAAAACAGACCTGTGAGAATTCCTAATAATCTGGGTCAAAAGTTTAAGCTGCAGTCTCTGCTTCTGACTTCAAGAACTTCACCTGCAAGGCTAGAGATGGCTGAGCAGTTAACAGCAATCACTGCTCTTAGAGGAACAGGGTTTGGTTCACAGCCCCCTAGTGATGGCTCATAACCATCTGTAACTCCAGTTCCAGGGGATCCATAAGTACTTCAGGCAAAACACACATAAAAATAAATAAATCTTTTATGTAAAAAAGAAAAGTGGCACACACTTTTAATCCCAGCACTTGAGAGGCAGAGGCAGGTGGGGCTTTGTGAGATCAAGGCCAACCTGGTCTACATAGTGAGTACCAGGCCAGCTGGGACTACAGGGAGAGAACAACTCCACCTAGCACTCCGGGAGTAGTGAGGACTCTCATCTGTTACTAAGATGGTGCTTCACAGAGCCCACACCCCCACATCTGCAGCAGGAACCAGGCAGAAAACAGTGAAAGGGGGCACCTTGTGACATCCAAACCTAGCCCCCGGACAATACATTAGTGACATGAGGAGCTGGCAGCTTCAATTATTTTTTATTTTCTGAATACAGTTTCTTATTCACTTCCACTGTGATCATGAAATGCCCTTATGCAATATGGGGTTGGAGAGATGACTCAGCGGTTGAGGGCACTGACTGCTCTTGCAGTTCAATTCCCAGCACCCACATGGCAGCTATGAACCGTCCTTAACTCCAGTTCCAGGGAAATCTGAAGCCCTCTTCTGACCTCCGCGGCATTGCACGACACGGGTACACACACATACATGCAGGCAATACACTCATACACATAAAAAAATAAAAATAATAAATAAAATATTTTTTTAAAAAACTGCAATATATCCTGGCTGTACTTGACAATCGCATGGAGGGTGATAGTTTGCTAAGAACTCTCCCACATCACTTAAATAAAAACCACTAGCAGTAAGCTCTAGATATGAATTTAAAAACAAATATTCATTAAAGCCACATGGAGAGGGGCTGGAGAGATGCTCCACAGTAAGCACTGGCTGCTCTTGCAGAGGACCTGGGTTTAAATCCCAGCACCCACATGGCAGATAACAACTGCCCATAACTCCAGTTCCAGGGGATCTAATGCCCTCTTCTGACCGCCTCAGGCATTGCATGACCTGGGTGCACTTACATGCAGGCAACACATTCATACACATAAAATAAATTTTAAAAAATTTAAAGCTACATGGAGAGGAGCTGGGAATGAAACTCAGTTGGTAGAGCGCTTGTCTAGCATGCACAAAGTCCTGGGTTCGATTCCCAGCACCGCATAAGCAAGATGTGGTGTCAGATGTCTGTAAGGCAGTACTGAGGAGGTGGATGGAGGCAGGAGGATGAGTTCAAATCGTTCTCAGTTACATGGGTCGTTCCTGGACAGCTTGGGCTACAGAAGAGTCTGTCTAAAAAAACAAAAACAAAAACAAAACAAAACAAAACAAAAACTCCAGGAGAGTCTACTGTCCATCCAGGTTTGAGAACTGCAAACAGCATATTCAGTGACTGGTGGAAAAAGCAAACGTCTGCTGCCCTAAACTGTCTCCAAACTATCTTCTGTAGGAAAATGATCAGCCCCAAAACCATTGCACAATTTTCACACAAGATCACACTTTAACCCAAGCTCTTGTGGCTTCCCTCCTGGCTACACAGGTCTTTGTCATATCTGATGAACCAGTGTCTGGCACTGTACCAGTCACCGGGCAGAAAATACTTGTTCAAAGCTGCCTGAACTATGTGACCTCGGGCAAGTTATTTATTTCCTCTGGGCGTCTATTTCTCTACAGTAAAATGGAGGTAACCCTGCTGCATAAACCGCTGGGCTGCTGAAAGAACCGAGCAAAGGGGAAACTGTTTTTGAATCACTGGATGCTAGAAACAAGTATCATGAGCTTCCCTAGCCTGCCAGGGCTTTGGAGATGCACCTCCTCGAGTTAAATCCACGCACGCTCAGATTGTCCTACAAATAAACTAGTAGGAAGAGATCAACATGTACCAGGCATCCATTCCCAGAAATACTCAACAGATCAACAGTAGAAACGAGAGACTTCCAGAGCAGGATGTGAAAGAAAGATTCACGAGTGGGGCCTGGGGACATAGCTCGGTGGTAGAGAACTTGCATAGGGCTCTGGCCTCGATCCCCAGAAACACCCAAAAAGGAATTTAGAGAAAGAGAGAGGAAGAATGTGTGTGTGTGTGTGTGTGTGTGTGTGTGTGTGTGTATGTAGTAGAGCCTTTGCCTCGTACAGTGAGGCCCAGGGGTGGGGTTCCAGCAGGGGCAGGGACACAAAATGACATCTGAAATCAACACTGAAGCCTCTACAGCACATGTGGTAGAAATTGTACTTAATTTCTTGTCTCTTCCTCTCAGTACTGGGGAAATGACCCCAGGACCTCTTGCACACTAGGCAAGCACACTACCACTAAGCTACATCCCCAGAATTTTATGTTTTTATTTTGAGACAGGGTCCCAGATTGACCTTGAACTTAACTCTACAGGCCAGATGGGCTTTGAACTTGCAAGCCCCCTGCCTTAGCCTCTCAAACAGCTAGCTGGAATAACAAGTCTGTGCCACCAGGCCTGGGTGGAAACTACATTTAATTTGTACTCACAAAAAGAGATTTGGCAAGAAAAGACACATACCCAAAACACATCCTACAGAGGTTAGCAGGCGCCTAATTTCACCTCCAAGCCATCTGGTAAAGGACTCATCGGATGCCTTTTACGAGGCATAATTAGATCTTATGACTTGGGGAGTGGGAGGGAGTCAGACAGTACATCAAAGGTGCTGCAGAGCAGACGGCCTAATCAATGCCACAGTGCACTTCCCTCTATTGTGTTTCCACATAATATCTAGCTTTAGGAGAGAGCAGGCAAAGTTTGGCCTTCCTAATTCTCTCCAGAATATTCAAAGCAAAAATGGCCCACCTACTTGAGGACTGGCTAGCATTTAACTGCCCCTCCCAACTTTGTGTTGCTTTGTTTTTTTGAGACAGGGTCTTGTTATGTAGCTCAGGCTGGCCTCCAACACTTCTGCCTCAGCCTCCAAAGTGCTTAGGCGCCACAGTGCACTTCCCTCCATTGTGTTTCCACATAATATCTAGCTTTAGGAGAGAGCAGGCAAAATTTGGCCTTCCTAATTCTCTCCAGAATATTCAAAGCAAAAATGGCCCACCTACTTGAGGACTGGCTAGCATTTAACTGCCCCTCCCAACTTTGTGTTGCTTTGTTTTTTTGAGACAGGGTCTTGTTATGTAGCTCAGGCTGGCCTCCAACACTTCTGCCTCAGCCTCCAAAGTGCTTAGGATTCCAGGTGTCCACACCACCAGCCTTGGGATTCCAGGTGTCCACCACCAGCCTTGGCTACCAATTTCTCATTTTTATCTTCTGAAGAACCGTCATTAGTCCCAAAACATTAAAAAACAAAGGTTGGGATACAGTTGTGGTGGAGTGCTTGCCTAGTGTGGGTTCAAATCTTCAGCTCCACAAAGTACACAAAGTTAAAAGAAACACAACAGCCAGGCATGGTAGCACACACCTTTAGTGTCAGCACTTAGGAGGCGGGGGGCAGACAGAGCTCTCTAAGATTGAGGCCAGCCTCATCTATGAGTTCCAGGCCAGCTGGGGCTACAGGGAGACCCTGTCTCAAAAAACAACAAACAAGCAAACCAAAAAAGAAACACAACAATGCGTGGGTTCAAATCTTCAGCTCCACAAAGTACACAAAGTTAAAAGAAACGCAACAGCCAGGCATGGTAGCACACACCTTTAGTGTCAGCACTTAGGAGGCGGGGGCAGACAGAGCTCTCTAAGATTGAGGCCAGCCTCATCTATGAGTTCCAGGCCAGCTGGGACTACAGGGAGACCCTGTCTCAAAAAACAACAAACAAGCAAACCAAAAAAGAAACACAACAATGAAATCAGTATCTCAAATACTTTGGGAAGAAAACATGGTGTACATCTGCTGACACACCTGGCCTGGAGTCTGCCTTAAAGCACTTTTTCAAAGCACAAACACTTGTAACCCACTCACCTCCAAACACCATGGGATTCCATGTGAACTGGGTGTGAAGGGAAAACCAGAGCAAAGATATTTCTGACAGCAGAGAAGAGATCCCTAGAGCACGGATGAGGTGCACAACAGCTCCAGGCCCAGGTGCCCAGAGGACGCGCTTTCCCGTCCATGCTGGGAGCTCCATTGGTCCCCTCAGCTTCACTTAGCATCAAGCCACTGCTCAGGCTGTGCCAGTCAGCCCACCCTGCTAAAGACAGACAAATCCTTCTAATTTATAGAGGTCTAGCTCCTTCAGGTTGAGTTATAATCAGAGTCCTCAGCAGCAACTCTGACATTTCACAAGAGGACCACGAACGTCTTCAACTATTTCTTAATTTCTATGCTGACTTTTACCGGCCAGATGTAGAGACTAATCAGCTTTTACCAGCACTGTTAAATCCACACATCTCGGCCCTCTCTGCACAAAATGCTAATACGAGCCAAGAAGAATGCATTGAAGTACTCGGTGCAATCCAGGTGTGAGAATGTCAAAAGGGCTCTTCTCACCTTGTGTGTAAAACTTTGTCAATGATACGAAAGCACCAAACTAGAAAGAAGGTCCAGCTCTCAGCCCTGCCTCAGGGGCTGTCCTAGATCAACCCCAACCCAACCTTTCACTCTGTCCCACCTCCCTCAGAAGGCTATTTCTGAAAATGAAGTCATAGGAAAAGTAAATATAAAGCCCCATGCTGTGAAAAATTTTTTTTTCAAACAGGATCTCATGTAGCCCAGGCTGGCTCCAAACTCTGTAAGAAATTGAGGCTGACCTTTAACTCTTTGTTAAAATTAATTTTTATTTATGTGTAGAAGTGTTATGCCTGCATGTAAGTACAACCTGTTGCATAATCCCATAGAGGCCAAAAGAAGGTGTCAGATCCCCTGGAACTGGAGTTATGGACAATTGTTAGCTACTACTGGGTGCTAGGATTCGAACCCTGGTCTTCTGTAAGAGCAGAAAGTGCTCTTAACTGCTGAGCCATCTTTCCAGCCCCTATGACCTTGAACTCTTGATCCTCTTGCCTCCACCTCCTGCAGGCTCAGATTCTAGGCATATACACCTGCACCCCACTTATGTAGCACTGAAGATGGAGCCCAGGATTTCCTGCATGGGAGGCAAGTGCTCTAGCAGCTGAGCTACACACTAGGCAAGTACTCTAACAACTAAGCTATATCCCAGGCAAGTACTCTAGCAACTGAGCTACACACTAGGCAAGTACTCTAACAACTAAGCTATATCCCAGGCAAGTACTCTAGCAACTAAGCTATATCCCCAGGTCCCTTGCCGAAGAAACTCTTTTCAGAAAGCAGCTTTGTTGACCTGGAAGCTGCACGCAGGGCGGCCCACCTGTGCTCCTCCTGGCTGCTCATTTCTGTAATGAGCGTCTTGCAAAGGGGACGATCTCTCTGTCTTGGGACTGTGAGAATTAGAGCTATGAAAAACACTTGACACATGCAGGCGGGAAGCGCCCGTTCGTTTTAAACTGGGATTTTCCGCAAGAACAAAACTTATTCATATATATCTGCACTTTTCAGAAAGTGTTGGCCTTAGTTGTATGCTCGATCCGAAGATTCAGTTTGCAGCAGGACTTTCAGAAATAAGCTCTAGAAACACGACCCCATTATTCAGAAAATGCAAACACTGGGCAGGCAACTTGTCTCAAGCTGTAAACAGAAGGAAGGATGCGCTTCACGGCGCCAGAAGCAGCACGTGACCACCAGCCTGGCACAATTAGTGCTTTTCACATTTCCCGTTAACAACCCCCCCCAGGCTGTTAATAAAGCCCTTCCACCCGGCCCACCACCTGGGGTTTCAACTCCCCTCGGGGCTCACTTTTCGTCTCAGTAGAGAACTTGGCCCCGTGACAACCATCCAGGCGGGGGTGACAAGGCCACAGCAGCTTGGGGCCGTCGGGCGGTCCTAAGCCCTGGTTCCTGCCAGGCGGGGCTGTCCAGCAGCTGACCGAGGCCACGGCACCCAAAAGGCCGTTTGGTTTGTCTGTCAGGATTGGCTTTAGGGCTTGGGGCAGACGCTCCCTTTCCGGGCTAGCCTCGAACTCTGGTCCTCCTGCTCAGCCCCGGCGTGCCGGGATACCAGCCTGCGCCTAAGAGCCGCTCAACGAGCTCCAACATGGCTGCTCCTGCGGGAGAGAGGCTCCACGAACACAAGCTACTTCGTGCCCTTCCCCAGCCCGGGAGGCCTGGGGGCTGCCCGACGCAAGACCCGGGTTCGGATCCGCCTCCGGGGTGTGCTCCCCACCCGGGGTCCTCCTCCCCGGCCGCCTGCACCGAACCCCGGCTGCGACCTCGCAGGCCAAGCAGAAGCATTCGGTGCTTACCCGGGCTGGAGCCGGCCGCGGCCTCCGTGCACTGCACCGCCAGCACCGCGAGCACCAGCGCCCGCAGCGGCCCCATGGCTCCCGCCCGGACCTACGCCGGGGTGCTGCGCGCCATCCCGGCCCTGCGTGCACCTGCCGGCCAGACCCTCCTCTGCCCCTCCCCGCGCCCCTCCTCTTCCTCCCCGCCCCTCCTCCCTGTCCCTCCGCCTCCTTCGCCTCCTTCTCTTCTCCTCCCTCTCCTCCC